GGGAGGGGAGGGGAGGGGAGCAAAAGGCCAAGCAAAGCTCAGGGGAGCACAGCCATGTGTCCCTCCTGCCACAGCCCCAAGGGAACAGCTTTCACAGAGATGGGCTTCCAGGCAAAGCCCAGAGCTGGCATGGTGAGGAGGGCAAATAGGAGGCCCCTGACTTTCACATCCTCCCAGGGACTCTGTGAACTTCACACCCCTTCTTAGTCCATTTCTGTCTGCGAACCAGGCAGCCCTTGACTTCTAGCCCTTCTGAGCCCCTCCCCTTGCTTGTTCCAGATGTGGGAGGCAGAGGGGACAGTGGGAGCCCCTGGCCTGAGCTCCCTGGGAGTCCAAGGTTTGAGCACTAGCTTTTAGTGTATGACTTTTGGTAAGTCACTTGCCCTCCCGGGGCCTGAGTTTCCACCTGTACAATGAGGCTGTCGGTTCACGGTCCTTCCTCTGGGCCATGGAATCCTCTAGGGCTTGGCCTCTGGGTCAGCCCAGGAATGCAGCCAAGGGGTGGGGCCACCTGCTTGGCGGGCGCACACCGGACCCTTTCTCATCGAGAGTCTCTCCTCTCCCTTGTTCGCCACAGCTCCCAGCAGCTGTCCCTCGGGCCCAGGCAGAGGGCCGGCTGGCGCGTCCCTGGCTGAGGCCGATGAGAGAAAACAGGTTAAGAGTTCAACCCTTGTTTCCTAGGAAGAAAAGTCTGTCGCATTCGGAGTGTGAAAAGGAACCCTTTTTCCAGCTCCAAAGCAGCACAATAGAACTTCCCTCCGATTTGCCATCAAAAGATACCCTTGGCACTGGACTCCCCTGTCCCTGGCACCTCCCCACCCCCATCGCCAGCCCCCAGTGCAAAGGGACACAATGACCCAAAACACAAGCCACTGGCAGTCATGGGGACACTGCCGCATCCTCTATTTTCAGTTCACTGGTCTGACTGGGGTCACCTCTGGCTAAATGCTTCCTCCCATTCCCACTCCCCATCCCCAATGCTCCAGCCCTAGTTCAAGACCTTGTCACTCCCATTTCGACCTTCAGAGCAGCCTGGACACAGAGCACTCCGCCCCCACCCTCGCTCTAGATCATCCAGACCTCAAACTAAGTGTCTACAAGTTTACAGGGTAGGAGGCAGGTCCCTGTGTGATCCTTAGGAAGTCTCTTCCCCTTCTCTGTGCCTCAGTTGCCCTCAGTACAAAACAAGGCTGTTGGGCAGCCACAGTGTGGGAGATGGATTGGTGATGTCTGTCCTGGGCACAGAAGGAGAACGTAGCAGCAAACTCGCCTCACCCACTCTCACTGGCCTGCAAGATCCAGCTGTGACCTTCTAGGTCCCTCCACCTATCTCATAGCTCATTGTATTCATACATCATTTCCACGTCAGACTGTGCTCTGTTCCACAGTAGGGCTTCCTATTCGTTGTTTTTGGGGTGCCAGCACAGGGCCTGGCACAGAATGGACGTATTTGTTGAATGAGTGCTTGAAAGGGGCCAATTTAAATCCGCTCAATGCATTGGGTCGTGACTTTTCGCTCTCCCCACAGAAACACTAATGGACTCAACCACAGCGACGGCGGAGCTCGGCTGGATCGTGCATCCTCCATCAGGGGTGAGTCAGTGGTCCCCAAATCCTGCCTGGTCCCCCAGGACACCTTAGGTTCTGCTGCAGGGCCTGGATATCCCCTCATATTCCACTCCCTTTCCCTCCTTCAGAGCCCAGGGCCAAGCTCATTGTCCCACCCACCTGGTCCCCTACCGTTGGTGGAGCACCAGTTACCATGACAACATGCTAGATGCATTAAGCGGTCCCATGGAATCCTCGGGGTGAGGCTCAGAAGTAGGTGCTCGTATTGCCCCCTTTTACAGATGAGGCAAGTGAACTGTTCTTTCCTAAGCACCCAGTGTATGTCAGATACTGTATCAAGCACTTGTCTTTCTTTCTTTTTTTTTTTAATATGTCTTTATTGATTTCAGAGGAAGGAAGGGAGAGGGAGAGAGAGAGATAGAAACATCAGTGATGAGAGAGTCATTGATCGGCTGGTTCCTGCAAGGCCCCTACTGGGGATCGAGCCTGCAACCTGGGCATGTGCCCTGACCGGGAATCGAACTGCGATCTCCTAGATCCTAGGTTGATGCTCAGCCACTGAGCCACACCTGGCCGGCTCAAGCACTTTTCCACACATCACCTCCACTCCAAAGGGAGGAATCACCTCCATTTTACAGGTGAGGAAACTGAGGCTTATAGAGTTGTAGCCACTTGTTAGGGGCCCTACAGCTAGTAAGGGACAAGGCTCAGGTTTATACCCAGGGCTGTGACCAAGTCCTCCAGGCCCCCTTTCTGGGTCCCTATAACACAAGGCTCCCCCTCCCTGAGCTCTTCACACTTCCTTGCATTCAGTGACCCGAGCCCATGTAGTCTGCAGGCTCCCCAAAGACAAGGGCAAGCACAATTTCAGATTCCTTTTCCTCCCCGCACCAACCAGCCCGCACTTGCCTACAGGCTGTGGGGTAAGACTCCTGAAATTTTCTCCCAATTCTGCCACTCGCCTGCTGTGTGATTTGGGGCCAGTTCTTTAACCTCTCTGAACTTTAGTTTCCTTGTCTTTAACATGGTGATAAGAATGCCTTCCTCACAGGACTCTTGTGAGGTTTTCCTGCCGAGTAGCTAGCGCAGTGCCTGGCATAGAGTGGGCTCCCAATAACAAGGAGCTATAATAGCTATCACCATCGTCACTGTCACCGTCATCAGTTTTAATAGCATTCCCTCCATATCCCCCTGGTCTCTGGAAAGGTTCTGGGCTCCCACAGCCCATCCCTTCCCTTCCCCCCATCCCAGCTTCTGTGTTGAGACTCAGCTGCTGCCCCGTGGAGCTACATGTTCCCTCCCCCCGCCCCCCAGGCCTGTGCTCTCAATAGGCAGGGCCCCGGGTCAGGCTTCTTTCTGTGGTTCTTTCTTGTCACCAATTTTCCATCTGCGAAGGCGGCAGGGCCCACAGCCCCACCCTGCCGGTAATGAGGCCAGGCTGGGCTGCAGGGCCCCCGGACGCAATTATTTGGGGTGTTTAGGCTGCAGGGCCTCCGCATGTTAATTAGAGAGAGGGGAGAAAGGCAGAGTGCTCTAATTAAGTGCTCTAATTAAGTTCTGAAGAAGAGCAGTGGTTGTAACAAGGGGCTGACTTTGTCACATGGTGCCACCAAAAAAAAAAAAAATATTAAACGCAACGTAAGGAGCTTCAGAATCGCCATTGAAGGAGAGGCTGGGCCAGCAGGCTTCGACTTGTCCCTCCCCAGGCCAGCTGCCACAGCTCCACACTGTACAGACCTGGCCCAGAGAATCAGAGGGAGACAGGACAAAGAATGCCCACTTGAGGGTGACAGTTCTCCCACCCCCATCATAGTCATATTTAGCAGTTGGGGAAATAGAGGCCCAGAGGAGGGGAATGACTTGCCCAAGGCCACACATCAGTTTAGCAGAGTTGGGACAAAACCCAGGGGCACTGTGGGTCCTTTTGTTTCGAGGCAGTGTGGGCAGGCAAGTGAACGGGCCTGGGTCTGTGTGACCTGGGTCAAGTGACCTCACTTCTCTGGTCTCTACTGCCTCATCTGTAAAATGGGGACAACCATACATATCACGTGTGAGAAATATGACAAAGAAATGAAACCCTGTGAGCCCCCAGCCCCTGGGCTGACAGGGGTAGGCAGGGATGTTCTGCTGTCCGAGTTCCTTTGGGTCTATGCCAGGTGAAGCCAGCCCACCTATAGGGGGCACAAGAGAAGGAGGGGAAGAGTAGCTACCCTCGGCAAGCTCAGGTCCACTGGGGAAACCAGACCAAGAGAGCCAAGAGTGCCCTGCACTCGCCCAGGCAGATACTCCCCTGTGAAAGCAAACACTGCAGCCAGATGGAGAGCTGCCGCAAGACGTTCCAGAAGGATGGACAGAGAAGATGAGAGGGTACTTGAGGAAGGCACAAGGGTGTGAACAAAGTCTCAGCAGTGCAACAGGGCTTGGCCTTTGAGGGTCTGTGAGGAGAGAATGTGGACTCTGTGCCCTTCCAGTTCCAGCTTTCCGTGGCCCAGCTTGGCCCCTCCAGCAGGGAGGCTTGGGAACTGTCCTCTGGCTGCGTGAGCCCAGTGAGGAGGCTGAAGCACCTGCCCCAGGCGGGAAGGGTGGGCGGTCTCCCTCCAGGCACCATCTTAGCCACTTATGGCCCCAGAGCAGGGTTTCCATCATGAGGAAGAGTCCTGTCTCTCCCGTCGCAGGGGTAAGGGCTCTTCTTCCATCAGACTGGGAGTCCCCAAGGGCATAGACTGGTCAGGCAGGGAACTTCCAACAGGCAGAAATTCTGTCTCCCTATCACAAAGCTCTGTCTGCTCTCAGCGAACCCCTGGAGGTAAGGGTCACCTACACCCTATTGACTAGAGGAATACCAAGAGTGGGGTGTATGCCCTGCCAATGGATGGGTGTGTTTCCCTCACAGGCAGGAATTCCTCAGGCCCAAGGCTGTGCCTCCCCCTGAGTTTGGGAGTTTTGTGATTGGAGCAATCATGTCTCCATCATCAAAGTGAAAGGTCCCTAAGGTAAAGCCTGTGCCTCCCCCATCAGACTAGGAGGCTCCTGATGCTAGGGGCTAGAGGATTCCCTAAGGTAGAGCCTGTGCCTCCCCCATCAAACTAGGAGGCCCCTGGTGCTAGGGGCTAGAGGATTCCCTAAGGTAGAGCCTGTGCCTCCCCCATCAGACTAGGAGGCCCCTGGTGCTAGGGGCTAGAGGATTCCCTAAGGTAGAGCCTGTGCCTCCCCCATCAAACTAGGAGGCCCCTGGTGCTAGGGGCTAGAGGATTCCCTAAGGTAGAGCCTGTGCCTCCCCCATCAGACTAGGAGGCCCCTGGTGCTAGGGGCTAGAGGATTCCCTAAGGTAGAGCCTGTGCCTCCCCCATCAAACTAGGAGGCCCCTGGTGCTAGGGGCTAGAGGATTCCCTAAGGTAGAGCCTGTGCCTCCCCCATCAGACTAGGAGGCCCCTGGTGCTAGGGGCTAGAGGATTCCCTAAGGTAGAGCCTGTGCCTCCCCCATCAAACTAGGAGGCCCCTGGTGCTAGGGGCTAGAGGATTCCCTAAGGTAGAGCCTGTGCCTCCCCCATCAGACTAGGAGGCCCCTGGTGCTAGGGGCTAGAGGATTCCCTAAGGTAGAGCCTGTGCCTCCCCCATCAAACTAGGAGGCCCCTGGTGCTAGGGGCTAGAGGATTCCCTAAGGTAGAGCCTGTGCCTCCCCCATCAGACTAGGAGGCCCCTGGTGCTAGGGGCTAGAGGATTCCCTAAGGTAGAGCCTGTGCCTCCCCCATCAAACTAGGAGGCCCCTGGTGCTAGGGGCTAGAGGATTCCCTAAGGTAGAGCCTGTGCCTCCCCCATCAGACTAGGAGGCCCCTGGTGCTAGGGGCTAGAGGATTCCCTAAGGTAGAGCCTGTGCCTCCCCCATCAAACTAGGAGGCCCCTGGTGCTAGGGGCTAGAGGATTCCCTAAGGTAGAGCCTGTGCCTCCCCCATCAAACTAGGAGGCCCCTGGTGCTAGGGGCTAGAGGATTCCCTAAGGTAGAGCCTGTGCCTCCCCCATCAGACTAGGAGGCCCCTGGTGCTAGGGGCTAGAGGATTCCCTAAGGTAGAGCCTGTGCCTCCCCCATCAAACTAGGAGGCCCCTGGTGCTAGGGGCTAGAGGATTCCCTAAGGTAGAGCCTGTGCCTCCCCCATCAGACTAGGAGGCCCCTGGTGCTAGGGGCTAGAGGATTCCCTAAGGTAGAGCCTGTGCCTCCCCCATCAAACTAGGAGGCCCCTGGTGCTAGGGGCTAGAGGATTCCCTAAGGTAGAGCCTGTGCCTCCCCCATCAGACTAGGAGGCCCCTGGTGCTAGGGGCTAGAGGATTCCCTAAGGTAGAGCCTGTGCCTCCCCCATCAAACTAGGAGGCCCCTGGTGCTAGGGGCTAGAGGATTCCCTAAGGTAGAGCCTGTGCCTCCCCCATCAGACTAGGAGGCCCCTGGTGCTAGGAGTCCTGTTCACTCCCGCCAGACCGGAGGATTCCCTGAGGTGGGGCCTGTGTCTTTCCTCTCTGGGCGTTCCCTGGGGCTAAGCCCTCACCTCCCCCACCTGACCAGCGTTTCACCCACAGTGGGAAGAGGTGAGCGGCTACGATGAGAACATGAACACGATCCGCACGTACCAGGTATGCAATGTATTTGAGTCAAGCCAGAACAACTGGCTACGGACCAAGTTCATCCGGCGCCGCGGCGCCCACCGCATCCACGTGGAGATGAAGTTCTCCGTGCGCGACTGCAGCAGCATCCCCAGCGTGCCCGGCTCCTGCAAGGAGACCTTCAACCTCTATTACTATGAGGCCGACTTTGACTCGGCCACCAAGACCTTCCCCAACTGGATGGAGAACCCCTGGGTGAAGGTGGACACCATCGCGGCCGACGAGAGCTTCTCGCAGGTGGACCTGGGTGGCCGGGTCATGAAGATCAACACCGAGGTGAGGAGCTTCGGGCCCGTGTCCCGCAGTGGCTTCTACCTGGCCTTCCAGGACTATGGCGGCTGCATGTCCCTCATCGCTGTGCGTGTCTTCTACCGCAAGTGCCCCCGCATCATCCAGAATGGCGCCGTCTTCCAGGAGACACTGTCAGGGGCCGAGAGCACCTCGCTGGTGGCCGCGCGGGGCAGCTGCATCGCCAATGCTGAGGAGGTGGACGTGCCCATCAAGCTCTACTGCAACGGGGACGGCGAGTGGCTGGTGCCCATCGGGCGCTGCATGTGCAAAGCGGGCTTCGAGGCCGTGGAGAATGGCACCGTCTGCCGAGGTAAGGGCCGCAGCGGGGCAGGTGTCCCTGCAAATGCACGGGTGGGCATTGGGCTTGGCACCTCAGAGGTCAGGCTGGCAGGGGCAGGGGCCTGGGGCTGACCATGGGGCACTCTGGCTAGGCTTCCCCAATCCACAACCATGTTTAGCTCCTTACAGGGAAGGATTTGAATGGTGGTAGAGGTACCATGGGGCGTGGGGGGGTTGCAAGATGATTTTAGTTCTATGAGAATAAATGTTTCTTGTTTTAATTATTATACAAATGTTATCGGATGCTAAGGGGTGCTTTATTTCTTCATGTACAAAAGTGATATAGTTTCCTTCTTAAGAAAATGTATACATGATTATATTTATAAGTTAACAGTTATTGAGCTTCTTCTGTATCAGTCAGTATAGGCCAGGCTATGCTGAAGTGACGAAACAATAGAAGCTACATGTCCATCGGGTCAGCTTGGGAGTCCTCTCTCTGGGAGCCAACCAGATGGAGGAGGCACCATTTGCAATGTCATGATCACCAGGGCAGAAGGAAGCTGTGAGTGTCACAGACCATATATTAGCTCAAAAGCTTCTGCCCGGAATGGCTCCCACATCACTCCATGCATATTTCATGGGCCACAAAGCAAGTCCCGTGGTTACTTCCAATGTAAAGAGATGAGGGAGTACAATTCCACTGTGAGCCAGGCCTCCTGATCACCACTTTTCCTGTGTGCTGGGCACCTGACATGTCTAACTCATTTAATCCTCACAAGAACCCTGTGAGGGAAAGTGCCATTTTATTTTAAGAAATTGAAGTTCAGAGAGCCTTACTCTCATATAGAGTGGAGAAGCCAGGAGTCTTAAACCCAGGTAGTGGGATTCCAAACTCCCCCTGCCCTCCAAGCCACTATATAACTTAATTTAGGGAAAAACATTAAACAAACAACAGTACAGGTGGTGTTTGATTATGGCAAAGAATCACACAGGTAGGTTGTGAATGTAAGAAGTTTGTAAGAGCTCCTGCATGGTGGTAAGAAGGCTGTGAAGGTAGACAGACTTCGGTTCAAAGCCCAGCCCTGCCAGTTATTAACTGTTTGTCCTCTTTCGTATGGTGGTTGTGAGGATTCAGCAACTTAAGATCTATAAAGCACTTATTATGGCTTCTAGTACACAGTAAGAGCTTAATAAATGTTAACTAAATGAGATGATGTACACAAAGGCCAGCCTGGTGCAGGTACTCTGCTGCGTGAGCTGCGATGGTGATGGTGGTGGTATAGGAGATTTGACATCTGCTGTGCATTTTCCTCTTGACTTCCAACTGGAATCGGACCCCGGTGTGCTCCAAATGCCAGCCTAAGAGTTTGGACCCTATTCCAGGGGCCCTGAAAAGCAAGCGAAAGTTTAGCCTGGGGTGGTTGCCATGATTCTCACCTTTATAAAATGCTGTCACATCCACCATTTCCAGAGCTCCCCCACTCCCGCCCTCTGGGCATTTTAAAGGTCCCTGGGAGGACAAATGGAGGTACAAGGACAGGAGCAGTGGCCTGTGAGGAAGCTGCTGCAGTGACTGGGCATCCACATGCTGGGGAAGGGAAGAAGTAGAGTCAAAGGATGTTTGACAGTGAATTGGGTAAGATGCAGACACAGGGAGGCAGGAGGGAGAGGAGGAGTCAAAGGGAACAGGGAATTCCAGCTCGCAGGGAGGTGATGGTCCTGGAAAAGAAATGGGGAAGTTAGAAGAAAGGCTGTTTTCTTGGGGCAGATAACAGATCTGGGTTTCTATACATGAGTGTGAAATTGCACAGCCTTGGAGATGGCAAGACCTGGGG